ACCTTAAAGTGTGGGGAGGTTAAATTAACTGATTTATGAGGCCATAAAGAAGATTCTAGCAAAGCATTCCAGCGGGGAAGCATGTGGGGAATACGGAAGTGCTTCATCAGCGTCGCAGATGGACCGATGAAAGCGACAGCTCCCCTGGCAGCCAGAAAAAAGTTAAATACCCCCTGTGTATGTCAGTATATGTTTGTATGTCAAAGATTGGCATTGAATGTTTGCCAAATATGTGTACACTATAATCCACCCTGAGTCCCCTGCGGGGTGAGAAGGGCAGAATATAAAAGCTGTAAATAAATAAATAATAAATAAATATACCACTTTCTATATTTAAGAAATTGGTATTTTTTGTTTAAACTTATGAGTATGATTTAGATTATTAGATCTCCATAGATGTATTCTGAAATAACACAATTCCTCATTATATATAGCAGATCGGGGAACTTGTGGCCCTCCAATATTTCTGGATATATGGCCAATAGTTTTTGTCCAACATCTGGAACTACGCATTTCAAGATTGCACATGATATTAAAGTGCTATGATTACATAATGTGAAAAAGACCATGATTGTGCACAACTCTGCATGAATGAGAGACAAAGACCAAGAGAGAGAGAGAGCATGAGAGAGAGAAGGTATTAATAGTTTACCTGTCTGTATCCCACCATGATCATTCTAACCAGGACAATGTTGATGTGAACTCCTAGGGATTCATCATGGTAAATTTCATCTACCTAAAGAAAAAAGGAAACATCCAAAGAACCCTCAGGTTAAAATTATTGCTTTTGACATTGGGTAGAGTATGCTCTTTTATGTCATGCCATCACACATTCAACACAAAGTCCTCTGTTAATGAGTAAGACCCTTCCCTTCTTTGCCAGGTACAGAAAGAAGATCCCCCTTTACAATAAACAGACTGAACTTGAATAAATAAAGTGTACAAATTAGGATACTGGACTAGGTGATTACATCACCAAAAAGAGCTGAGAACAGCTGTATTTTCCTAGGAGAGTTCATCAGCCGTGGAACATTCTGCAAGAATTCAACAGACGCAAAGGCCAAGGAATGGGTGGAATCGATCCAGCAAAAAGAAAATGTTCCCGTCCAAATACATTTGTACCTTTTAGATATATTAAATACTAATTTCAGGAGGATTCTCTGAAATCTGAAGCAAAGCAATATATCATCTGTCTAACAGAGAACCTTTAATTAAAGGCAATGTTCATTCAATGCTAGTCCAACTAGAGCAATGATTCCCCAGAAGCTTTTTTGTTGAGTTCCTGGGCCAAAGAAGCAGATGGCGGAAACAGAAGAACTGCCTGCCTCAGGGGAGCATGCTTGCTCCATCAATGTTCAACATTACCGCTCAAGCAGGGAGCTTTGAGATGGTTGAACAGAAGCTCTCTGAAGCTCTAGGTGCTGTTACTATTACAGGAAAAAAACAGCTGATTCCACAGACATGTGTCTTTCACCTTAAGAACAGACAAGCATCCCGAGCTCTGAGGATTACTTGGGAAGGAATCCCACTGGAGCATTGCAGCACACCCAAATACCTGTGAGTCACTCTGGACCGTGCTCTGACCTACAAGAAGCACTGCCTGAACATCAAGCAAAAAGTGGGCACTAGAAATAATATCATACAAAAGCTGACTGGCACAACCTGGGGATCACAACCAGACACAGTGAAGACATCTGCCCTTGCGCTTTGCTACTCTGCTGCTGAGTATGCATGCCCAGTGTGGAACACATCTCACCATGCTAAAACAGTGGATGTGGCTCTTAATGAGACATGCCGCATTATCACAGGGTGTCTGCGCCCTACACCACTGGAGAAATTACACTGCTTAGCCGGTATTGCACCACCTGACATCCGCCGGAAAGTAGCAGCCAATAGTGAAAGGACCAAGGCAGTGACATCTCTGGCCCACCCCCTGTTTGGGTATCAGCCAGCATACCAATGACTTAAATCAAAAAACAGTTTTCTAAGATCTACAGAGACACTCATTGGGACACCTCAGCAAACCAGAGTCTAAAAGTGGCAGGCTCAAACCCAGAACCTCAATCAATGGCTGGTACTCCCTCCTGGGCACACAGAAAACTGGGCAACTTGGAAGGTGCTGAACAGACTGCGCTCTGGCACCATGAGATGCAGAGCCAACCTTAAGAAAGGGGGCTACAAAGTGGAATCCATGACTTGTGAGTGTGGAGAAGAGCAAACTACAGACCATCTGCTGCGATGCAACCTGAGCCCTGCTACATGCACAATGGAGGGCCTTCTTGCAGCAACACCCGAGGCATTCCAAGTGGCCAGATACTGGTCAAAGGACATTTAATAGAATACCAAGTCTGTTTGTTTGTTTGTGTGTTTGTTTTTAATGCAATACAACTGTTTTGGTTCGCTCCTGACACGATTAAAAAAAGTGATTCCCCAAAATCTGGACCTCTATAGCTCCCAAAAGCCTCAGCCACTATAGTCAGTGGTCAACATTCCGGGAGCTGAAGGACCAGAGTTTGGGAAAGGCTGAACTAGAGTAAATATGAATGGGACTTGGTAATCCCTGCTTAAATATACCCCATTTTACAAATCCTACTTTTTATGGGCCCACATTCATTGCAACTACCACTGAATTTAACCTCTGGGTAGTGTTCATCTTTCTCTTCCATGGTGCAGGGTAGGAGATAGAGGAATATTTTTCTCCCACCCAATTTGCCCATAAACACTTTTCAGTTATTCTGAGTTCATCAGAATTCGCATTACTTACTACAGAGTGCAGAAGAACAACAATCGCTGGCCCACTGAAGCAATGTATTGGGCATATGAGGCAAAGAGCTGTTACATGTAAGTTCTTGGGAGAAAAGAGAAGTCGAATCTCTGGCAAGTAAACAACTAATGCAAATATTTCCACATGCCCAATAAAGAAATATTTCCTTGTACACTATATAATAAATTTTCAAATTACAAACAGTTCAAGTATGTTAACCAGGCAAATATTTGGTGGCTGGAAATTGAGCATAAACCAAGCAGCAGAACTCTGGAGCACTTGTCCATACACATCAAGGGTGAGAAACGTGTTGCCCTCTAGATGTTGTTGTACTGCCAGTTCTAAATGGCTCCAGCCAGCATAGTCAAGAGGGGGTAGGAGCTAAAATCCAACAACACTGGGAGGGCTATACATTTCTGATGCCACACATCTACAAATAAAATTAATATCAGGTAAAGGTCTTCCAAAGCAGGGGAGATCTACCAAGGGCTCACCTCCTAACCTCCTTTGGCCATTCCCATCCACAGCAAAGGGCATACTATAAAAGATAGATAGATAGATAGATAGATAGATAGATAGATAGATAGATAGATAGATAGAGATAGAAATTTTTAAATGTACCTGTTCCAACTAACATATATACATATACCTTTTGGATAGCATAGGACAGTATTAAAACCCTTGCGGTGTTTGTTTTGCTATCTGTACCCCGTTCAGAAGATTTCACCTCACTTTCTGTCCCTGCAATAATTGGATTTTGAAAAATTTGGTTGTTATGAAAACAAGGACTAGTAATAAAGCTTCAATGGAGACACATTTTCTGCATAATGATAGCTTTTTCAGAAGTGAATTTCCAAAGGTTGAGTTCTTCTCATTTCCTGGTGTCTCATCCATATGTGTAACTAGGAGTCATTTGCAAGTCAGATGTTTGCTACAGAACTGACTGTATATGAAGAAGTAGGCTTGCACATATTACTGAATTGGGAAATGTGTGTGCAAAAAGAAGCTGCACAAATAATATCCAGTGTTTCATCTTTGCATCAAGTAGACTGGGAATTGTATGTGCAGCAGATTGTCAGGACTGGGGGAGGAACAATCACCTAGAGACTAGGACGCGGAACAATGGCTTCAAACTATAAGAAAGGAGATTCCATCTGAAGAACTTCCTGACTATGAGAGCTGTTCAGCAGTGGAACTCTCTGCATCAGAGTGTGGTAGAGGCTCCTTCTTTGGAAGCTTTTAAACAGGCTGGATGACCATCTGTTGGGGGTGCTTTGAATGCAATTTTCCTGCTTCTTGGCAAGGGGTTGGACTGGGTGGCCCATGAGGTCTCTTCCAACTCTAGGATTCTATGATTCTACCTGTTTGGAAAGCAGGCCTAAATCTAGACCTTAGTTTTATTTGCCAAACAAGTACCATATATTCTGGCGTATAAGACTACTTTTTAATCCAAGAAAAGCTTCTCAAAAGTCAGGGGTCATCTTATACGCGGGAGTCATCTTGTACACAGGAGTAGTCTTATACACTGGAGTAGCCTTATGTATGGGAGTCATCTTATATGCGGGAGTAGTCTTATATGCCGGGTATCATCTTATAGAGCGGGTGCTGAAACTTCCAATCCGGATTGGAGAATCTGTGGTTGTTGCATATTGTGGGGGGAGCTCAAAAATGGCAGTGCCCGTGTCCATGCTATATGCAGCGACTGTATGAAAGCATTAAGGGCAATGCTGTACAAGTATGGTAGAAGAAAATCCATTCATCAGGATTCGTGGACTTAATGTGGTCCCGATGGTGAGGTGAAGGGGCGCCTCACCGGGAAGGTGTAAGTGAAGGGCGGAGCAAGCTGCAGGCCCGGGGCGCGCGGGGTATGGAAATAAGAGATAGAGTGGCTCTGGGCTCAGAAAAACATACCTCTTTTACCTGTCTGGCCCGCCCTTATATCCTATTACCATACCTCCTCCTCTGCCTCTCAGATCTCACTCCTGAAGACTGCAGTGCGCATGTGTGAGATCTGAGAGGCAGAGAAGGAGGTACAGTAATAGGAAAATTACCATATTGAAATCAAATCTGATGCTTTTAAAAATTTTATTTGGTGTGTGTTGGAAGAGGGGTAGTCTTATACGGCGAGTATATCCCAAACTCTAAAGTTGGGGGTCATCTTATACGCACAGTCGTCTTATATGCCGGAATATACGGTAACTGAAAGTGCTAAAACCTATTCCTGGGCAGCAGGACACTAGCGGATATACAAGTGAATATCTGTCCAGTGTGTGAATGTGTGTTCAGATGATGCCTAAAAGCTGCAGCAGAATACAAGAGGAATCATTTTAAAAGGCATATATGAGTCCTACAATCCTAAAATATTTTAGTTTCACTGACAGCTAAGATCCCAACTGCATAACTTCAGATGCTCACTTAGGAAGAGATGATAAGAATTATAATGTAAACAGTCTGGTTACAAATAATGACACGCAAGAAGGAAAAAATGAACTATCTCCTTGGCTTTGACGTGCAAATAAATTTCTTTATTGGGATGGAAACGGAGGGATGACAGTGCCAGAATTTTTACTAGGACTGAGCATGGCTCTTCACTGAATGTGACAGGCCTGACCTGAAGTGCCTTCAAAAATTCTTTGTCTGTTCACTGTTCCGTCTTCCAGGAGCTTGGTTTGCATTGCTTTTTGGTGGCTTGAAATGGCACCCCTTTGCATTTTCCCCAGGATTGCAGCAGCACCTTTTTTTTTTTTTTTGGTCGTGTCAAGAGCAACTTGAGAAACTGCAAGTCGCTTCTCGTGTGAGAGAATTAGTCGTCTGCAAGGACGCTGCCCAGGGGACGCCTGGATAATTTGATGTTTTTATCCTTGTGGGAGGCTTCTCTCATGTCCCCGCATGAGGAGCTGGAGCTGATAGAGGGAGCTCATCCGCCTCTCCCCGGATTCGAACCTGTGACCTGTTGGTCTTCAGTCCTGCCG